TGTGCGCGTGGTTTGTGTATTGCTTAAGTAACAAATAGATCACAACAAGTACTGCTGTGTGGCTGTCCCTGAAGACAGAGGAGGAACACAACCACAGGCCTTATCAATCTGTCACGGCTGCTTTTTCCTCTCCTATGACATTATGCATGTGGGGGGATTTGGCAATGAAAAAGGAAAGAGAGGGTGAAGATGGATGTAGAGCGTTAGGACTATAAAGATGGGACAAACACGATCAGAAGATCAGATAAACAAACCACTTCAGCAATTATCAGTGTGAGAAGATCACAGAAGTAAGCATCGGAGTTCAGACGGTGGGCAAAACATTTAAATTGTATCTGTGGATGTTTTTTACTCCTTTTTATTTAAAAAAAATCTGTTTTCCTTTCATGTATTTTCCTCCATTACCAAATCGCTGCTCATTTATGTGATGTATAGTTCTGTTGCATTAGACAGATTCTCTCTAAACACCGAACCAGTGATTACTGTGTTTCTGGATTTTAAATCTACATAACACACACACACACACACACACACACACACACACACACACACACACACACACACACACACACACACACACACACACACACACACAAGTAAATGTTTCTATCCATATTAGGACTTTGTATTGACTTCCATTCATGTTAGTAACCACATTTATGCCTAACCTCAACCCTAACCCGTGTATTCCTGAACCCTAACTGTAAAACTTAATGTACATCTTACCACTTAACCTCACTCCTACGCCTAAAGCAGGGGGTCCACCGTATTAGGACCGGGTTTTGGTCCTAATACGGTCAATCTGTCTTCAGAAGATTAGTGAATAAGACAGTTTTGGTCCTAAATAGGATAGTTTAACAAGTACACACACATACACACACACACACACACACACACACACACACCTTATAATAACCACCAGAATACACCCACCCACTGCAGCATCTCGGCTTTGCCCTCTCCTTGTCGATCCTTGTCTGAACTCCCTGCCAGAGTGATTCGATCTCTTTTTCCTCGCATCTTCATCCATCCATGCTGTTGGGCCCTCATCTTTTTCCCCCCTTGACTCTCATCTTTTCTTTTTTTACTCACCACTCATGAGTTGTTTGTTTTGGCAGAATGAACCAAAATCGCTCAAGAGACTTCAACTGGCACAGTGTGTAGTTCCCATTCCACCTGATGCCCTGCTGTTATTCCTGTAGCGCTTCTCCTCCCATCTCCTCATCTCTTCTTCCCCCTCAGAAAAACAAGTTAGGAGAATGGTCATGCTCTCATGTTTGCATTAGTGTGCTTACTTTTGTTATTTTCTCCTGAAGTGCCTAAAATGCTCACAAAGTGAAAGGCCAGGTTTTATACTTCTACCCAGCTCCACAACACATAGGAGCCATTTCAAACCGTGTGAATTTAGCGAGTAACTCTGTTGTTGCCATGGATTTTCTTCACACAAATGGACAATAAAGTTGGCAGTCTTAGACATATTTATTTGGCAGAAGAAGGCAAATGATCAACACTAGTGCATGCAGCATGCTTCCAGTTTCTCAACAAGAACTTGGCATTAGACACTAGAAATTAGAACAGTTCATAGAAGGTGGTCACCATATGGCGGTAACTTTTAGTGCGGCTGGTGTTTTGGTGTCTCCAGCCTCAGCAGCATCACTGCTTGTAATGAGAAAAGGAGACTGATTAGTAATGCCCCACAGATGTGCCAATCTAGCTCTTGGCACTTATCCCTGGGCCACTGATCAGTTCTCCCCATACAGCTGAGCAGAAGAACACTTTCTGCAAAATCCATGTCCAAGCACTGTCTTTTGGCAGAGCTCCTCTGAGTCTTTTGTTCTGATGGCAACACAGAGAGATCTGCACAGGGCAAGCACCTTTTCCCCAGCATTATGTGCATCTTCTCTATGTTTTGCCCTAGCCCAGGTGGTGTGCAACATCCGGAACCTTCCGCCTGTCCCACCACACATTTCTTCACAGTTGCATGGGGGGCACTGTGCCTTAGTAAATCAAATGCCAAGGCAAGCCACTGCAGATGCTCTGAAAGGCTGTCTCTGTGGATTACGCCATCATTCATGAGGCAGCCTATGCAGCGTGTAATGCAGCATATAGTCCGTAAAGCCTGAAAAAGCCAATATACACTTGTAAGAATGGGTAAGTTAGTCTTTTCTTTGAGATGATCCCTTTTTTAAAGGGGGATGTTGTGAAGTACTTCTCAGTAGATTGTGTTTTACCTGGAGAAGACCGCAGTCTGCGCACTCTCAATTTGGAGAATCACAGGGGAATCCAAACAGGCAAGCCAAGCCATTCAAAACTTGAACAAGGTGTTTTAACCTAAAACAATCAGAACCTCGAAAACCTTTTAGTGGTGAATGTGGAGGGAGGAGCTACAGCATGTTTAAGACCCCTGCAGACTTCAATATGCGATTTTAAATTTAGCCTCTTACTATTTCAAAGTGCTCTATTAAGTACAGTTTTAAAGCTTTTGCTCTGCTACTATGAAGAAATTATGCATTATAATTTATTTTCATTGCACATTCTTATTTATCAACCAAGGCAATGATTCTAATGAGTCTGATTGGTTTAATGTAAAGCAAACATTAAACAATCTGGTTTATTAAAATGATATAGAAGATTAATAAACTGAAAGCCTGATTCTTAGAAGCAAAAATCCCAAGTTTTTTGGTCAGAGACCACCATCTAGAGACCAAACAAATGTACAGCACCTTAAGTGTCTCCCTACTTCTGGGATTATGGCTAGAAGCAACGTCTCTCATTCTAGCCAGAAAACAGATCTAAAACACCTTTTTTTAGTATCATTCTCTCTCAAGGTATTTTAAAGACATTCTTGTCCATAAGACATATCGCCAACTCTGAATCAGTCTAGAAACTTCTGCAAACGTGCGCACGCCCTGTGATTGACATCTACAATTGGCTAATGCTGAGTGACGCTCAATTCAAATTGCATGGGGCTCTACAGGATGGGGGGATGGGCTTAGCAAAAACAGTGGACAAATGTAATTCATTATATCAGAGTACAGAGTAAGGCATAATGGACAAACCAACTGTGCCATCACCCATACGTTTCTGAAGAGTTGAACTGAAGCCTAATGGGCGAATCCTACCATCGCCAACTTTGTCATGTCATGCGTCTTGTCACACCCGGGAAATACACAAATGGAGCTGAGAGCAGAGCTGTGAGGGTGGGAGCAGATGACTGACACCCAACAAACAGAGACAATGTAGCTATGAGCTAACCAAAGCTTACAGAGGTGGACAGGCGTTTTTAGAAAGAAAACTGCGGTTGAGCGATGGTACAATTGGTAAACAGCCTGTATTTTAATAGAGCTATGATGATGAGCTATGATGTAGCCACAGCTGCCCTGGGGCGCACTGACAGAGGCAAGGCCTGCCAAACACTGGTGCAACCGGTCCCTCTGACCACCTCAAGCAGGCAAGGCGGGTTTAGTGTCTTGCCCAAGGACACAGCTGCAGCATTTTCTAGTCTGAGCCAGGATCGAACCTGCAACATGCCCCTACTAGACTTGACAGAACTTGAAATATTTTTTGAACGAGGCTGTAAACTTGTCTATTTCTGCTGTCAAGTTGGCATTTTTAACATGGGAGTCAATGGGAGCTTGCTTCTTTCTGGAGCCAGCCCCTAGTGGATGAGAGGGGTACTGCAACTTTTGGCAGGTGGAGTTTGCCTGCTGGATCATTTTTACCGATCTCTAAAAAAATCATACATAAATCCTGAAAGAGGGAAAACTCCAGATTGCAGCTTTAAATGAGCTCATTGTCTTTTTGCATTTTAATATTTTACCGCAATCATATCTGGCATGTAATTAGAATTAAACCATAGTAAATACACTAAAAAGCAACAGCATGAATACAAAAAGTAAGAGCATCTTGATGTCCCTGGAAGCAAAGCTTTTAGTCCTGCAGATGATGGGATGGCTGAAAAGAGACAAATCTAATTCACTTTATGACAAAAATACAATCATGGGTCATTTCTGAGGTCAAACACACACTTTAACTCACAATATACAGCACACACACACTTTTGTGGCATCTTACAGAAGTTTTGCTTTGTACAATCTGATAATAAAATACGCCAATCCTCTCGATTCACTTGTGCTTTATCAAGAGTCTGCTTCATCCTGTCCTGAAAAACAGCATCTCGAGAGATTTCATTGGCTCTGATAGAATTTGACAAATTGATATTGACAATGCGGTTTATTTTATAGGAATAAATTGGGAAGCATAATATTGTTTCATTCTCTGTGACTGTGATATATTGCCAGCCACCAATATGTTTACTGTTATCTCTCTGTGTGGTTGTCGTGCCGTGCTAGAATACATTATTCAAGACAAAGAAAACAATATTACATTTCTTATTGAAGGGCAGCTTTCTTCACCTTTTATCCATTTATTAAAACTCACACAAGAACACACATAAACCAGCATGTAGAGGAATTGAGTTTGAACATAAAACAAATATATTCTGTTTTCAGTAAAGTCTACGTTTTTGTCACGTGTTTTAAAGGGATACTATGCAACTTTTTGATATTTTTTAATCATTTTCGAGAGCCAGTTTGTGCATTTGCAACTTCAGACTGCCGTTCCAGTCTGTTTGACTCAAAATGGAGCTGACATACCTGGTGATGCAGTCTGCTTCCATTATGTTTTCTGCATGATGTAGATCATGAGCACAGCTGATTTGTTTAATTTTGTGATGAATCGCTCCTGTAAACACTAAGGAAGGCTGGGGAGACGTTTCAGCTGACAAATTAAATTGTAAAAAATACAAATGAGAAGATAAGTTTTGCTTTTAGTTCTTCTAAACTGACACTAGGGGGTGCTAAAGGCAAGCCAAAGCTACCTAGTTTCCCTTTAAATTTCTTTAAGGGGTGTAATAGGTAAAGTGGTTGTCAGCCAGACATTAGCAGATGCTGATCTTCAAAATGAGCTCACAGGTTTGCTTACGTTTGTTTGCTTTTCAGATGGGACCCCGTACACATGGTGGGTTGGCAGAGGCAGCGAGAAGCATTTCTACTGGGGAGGCTCGGGGCCTGGCATCCAGAAATGTGCCTGTGGCATCGAGCGAAACTGCACCGATCCCAAATACGACTGCAACTGCGATGCGGATGCCAAACAATGGTAAGTCAGTTTGTAACCTTTCTGTTTGGCAGCGACTCAAACAAACTACTTCAACACAGTTTCAGCTGCGTTGGACAGGACTGGCAGAAGAACAAAACCTGCTCTAGAAAAAGAGAAAAGCTGCCTGGTAGAAAAATACCACTTCTGTCTAGTTTCCAAATACAAGAAATCAAAACTACTTTAAAAATAATGTATGTTCTTGGTGTTTAATTTACCACTTTTGCTAAAATCTATATTGCTCGAATCAAATTAGTATAGTCTTTTTAAAACAACTAAGATTAATATATGTTGAGGTAAAATAAACTTTTATTCAGCAAACTCCAGAACAAGGAAAATAGTTTTCAGTCATTTACCAAATTCATTTGTTTGCAAGCAGACCGTAAAAGGAAAAAAATCTAGAATTTGATTCAAACACAAATTGACAAATACATTTTCAGGTTTGCTGATCAATACCTAGTGGTAAGCAGGAGTGTTGATTGGTGTACTTTCCAAACAGTTTCAGGGCAAATGGTGTGTAAGATGACTTATAGTTAAAGGGATACTGTGCTACTTTTCTTTAAATAATTTTCTTGAGCCAGTATGTTTAAATGTCACTCTGACCCCCCAATAGTCCTCTGTGGCCAGAATACCACACTTGCAACTTTAGAGTGCTCGGTCCCTTTTGAACTTAATAAAGTGGAGAGGACATGCCTGGCCCTGCAGTCTGCTTCCGGACCATTTTCTGCATGCTTTAGATCATGAACACAGCTTATTTGTTTAATTTAGTGATGGACCACTCTTGCAGACACTAATGAAGACTGAGGAGACATTTCTTTATCCTTTATCCATTCTTTGTATGGACAAGATTGTGAGAACGGTTCATAGAGCTCTTAAAATATTGTGCTCAGTTAAAGATGAAATCCTATCTAGAAAAAGAAGAGATTCAATGCAGTGTCTTTGCGGTAATTTATAGAACATTATGCTTATATAGCTATGATTCATGTAAAAGTGTAATAATACAATATTAAGCTGCATAATTCAGCAGAACTGTTATGAGCTGCTTGGATCGATGCAGGTTGGAGTTCAGTAATGTTTGTGCTCCGGGTAAGAAATTGACTCATAGTCTGCTTGTTCTACCTTTAATGGAGTGGAACATCTGCCTGAGGGCAGCGGGTCAAACAGCTGAGAACTCGGGTGGGAGGTGTCCTGGATGTTTTGTTCCCTGCTGAAGCAAATGGAGTTGTTCTAGGCCTTCAGCAAGCAGAAAGCAGCAGTGGCTCTCTATACCGCTGTAAAGATCCTCAGGATCTGTCTGCTCCCGTACAGCTATGTACCACACAGTGGTGCAGTGAACCATTACAGCCTCAAAGGAAGAGTGGTACACGTTTATCAGTGGAATACTTCTTGCTTCTACAGAGAATCCTATGGAAGTTAAGTATCTACTAAGTCTTTTTGAGAGCTGGTTTGATGTTTTTGGTCCTGGAAAGGTCAACCGGCAGAAAATGTCAACAAATTTGACATTCTTACCCGTTCCATGAAGGGTCATGTAGTTGAAAGTAAGATTTGCTTTGAGCTTTCTACAGTCTGGAAATTTTGTTTTTGCAGTATTTCAATTCAGGTTGGTCACTAAGAGCTAAAAAGCATGTTTCCAAACATCTGTATCTAGAGTCAGCACTACTTGTGGAGTGCTTGAATTGAGTTTCAGGTAGTTTGACCTTATAGCTAGTTATATAATGTGAGTCTACTGCTTCAGAGAGGACAAATAGCGCCTTCTTAGGGTTCTACAACCCCCCAAGGCCCTTTACAACACAATCAGTCATTCACCCACTGGTGGGGATGAGCTACGATGTAGCCACAGCGGCCTTGGAGCCCACTGACAGAGGCAAAGACTGCCAAACACTGGCACCACCGGGGTCCCCCCAACCACCACCAGCAGGCAAGGCAAGTTAAGTGTCTTGCCCAAGGACACAACAGCAGCATTCTCTGGTGGGAGCTGGGATCGAACCTGTAACCTTCTGATTAACAGAGAGCCCGCTCTACCTCCTGAGCTACTGCTGACTCTGACTGTTTCTTAACTCATTAGAGATTCTCAAGTCGTGTTTGACTTGTCTACAAAAGCACATTGAACCTTCTTTGGTTATTAATAATGAAACTTTAGGCGCGTTTTCACTACTGGAACATCTGAGAAGTTCTACTGGACCTTTGCGGCATGCACATGTCTTTATTCCACCAGTCCAGTCTGAAAGAGCTATTTTCCAGGTAATGTCCAGAACCAACAGAGTACCTGAACTAAGGTATGTACTCAGAAAGGCCCGTTAGAATCTCTGAGCTTCAAAGTAGTTGCGATATGCTGATGTCTTAGTCCCAAAAGGGCTCATTTTGAATGGAGACACAACGGCTGAGAAGACCAACCCATCATATCTCCTGGTCACTTTTCTCCCTCCCAGAAATTTACCAAAACTCCTGTAGAGGAATTCCGGCCACTAATGTAGAAGCTATGCAACTAATGTCTGTTACTTATCATTGAACCAATGTAGAACAAAATAGACCATTCTGCCGTGGACATTCATTTCTACAGTCTGTGCACCGTGGGCTGGTGTAAAGAAACTTGGTCTGACTAACCTGACTGAAATAGTTGAGTACAATATTGAATAGAGATATGGTTGATTTTGTTTCCAGGCACTTTGGAAAATACAAATATGAGGTTTGCTTGTTCAAGTCTTCAGCAATAAATCCAAATCTTTCAAGGACAGAGTTCTGTTTTTTCCTGCAGTGTTACACAAGAGATCCATTCCAATAGTAGCGTCTGGTGGGATGTAAACAGCTGTGTTAATGATCTGTACCAGTGGTTCCCAAACTTATTTAGCCGCGCACCCCCTTCTATGTCCCGACCATGTCGACGCACCCCCCCCCCCCCCCCACACACACACACACACACACACACACACATCACGGCATGGCTATATATAGATAGATAGATAGATAGATAGATAGATAGATAGATAGATAGATAGATAGATAGATAGATAGATAGATAGATAGATAGATAGATAGATAGATAGATAGATAGATAGATAGATAGATAGATAGATAGATAGATAGATAGATAGATAGATAGATAGATAGATAGATAGATAGATAGATAGATAGAGATATCAGACGTCAAGCTAAACAAACAGGGTTAAAAAAATATGATCAACCTTTTTCCCCATCACTTTCATTTTTTAAATAGTAACTAATAAGCATTCGATACCATTACTATTTCCTTTGATTTAATTTTAAATAAATATTTAGAGTGCCCAGGTAGCACATAAACAATGAAATTTAACGGTTTTCTTAAAGTAGGAACGTTTAATCTGTGCGGCCAGAGCGCTCTCCTTCCTTCTGCTCTGCGTAAACCTGAACTGGCCACCTACTGGTGCGTAATCAAATGTCTATAGGGGAAAAGGAAAAAGCTTTAGCCATGAGGTTCACTTTTGCCTCAGACCGACTTATTGCTGTTTTATGGTGTGGCTGAATCTGCGATCCGCTGCCACGCGGACTGGAATAACAAATGCTGCAGGTTCGAGATGGCAGGTTCGGAGTCACTGGCTGGAGCGGACCGACTTTAATACATCATCCCAAAATAGAAGCTAATATCTTAATTTGACCTGGAATGAAAAATGTTGTTATAAAACCTCTTAAAAGTTTTTATCACAGAGGAGGCAGAGCTCATTTCTGCCTTCAGTCTGACGGTATCAGTCTGGCGCGCCGGAGTTTGCGCAGCGTGCACTTATTGAATCTGTGTGTGTGTGTGTGTGTGTGTGTGTGTGTGCGCGCGCGCGCGGCACAGCTCCACGAAGCTTGGTTTATGCTTGACGCATTCACTTTCCGCTTGGTGATGCGTCTCGCGGATGGAACGCGCTTCACAACTTGCAGCGTTTAAGTCACTGTGTCTCGTTAATGGTGCTATTTAAACCAATGTTGTAAAATGACTTCTGCCCAGCCCAGATGTGCTCACTTGTGCACCCGTGAGCCGTGGTTCCGGAACGCGTCTGACCTCCGACAGACGCACTCTAAACTTCAGATCTTCAGCGCGTGTGAGGTTTACAATGTCAGAACACCTGCATGAGACAGGTGTTAATTACAATCTGCCAGAATGACTCACCACCTTCAGATTTCTCCAACACCGTTAAAAATGATAAAATATGGAACATATCGGCGTGCGCAGGCCAGAGTGCTGAAGCTCGGCGCATTGTTATTATGAGGTTAGGGCACATGTGGAGGACACACACACACACACACACACACACACACACACACACACAAGTAAAATATACTTGTTTTCAATTACATTTATTGGGCCCACTTACTTTTTCTTTGGCCCACCCACAAATGAGTTTTCTGGCTACGCTAATGGTGACACCTGACAGACTTCTCTGAGCTCCGCAGCCATTACACTTTTCATCTCGCGCACCCCCTAGCGGCAGCTCGCGCACCCCCGGGGGTGCGCGCACCACACTTTGGGAATCCCTGATCTGTACTATCTCTCTGGACAGCTTTAAACAGACATAAAGCTGGAGAACAGGCTGTGTGGGCCTCTGTTGGTTTTGGATCACTAGTTGTACACTTAAATATAGAGACCACAGCCTGCGCTTATACCTTGGTTTTGCATGTGTTTTGTGGCAGGAATGTGAATCAGTATTCAGAATGTGATGAACTGTCAGTTATTTTCACGGCACAGCAGTGCCATGTTTGCCTATTGTCCAGATCTGTCATCTGTTAAAAACAAAACGTCACGAAAAGTTGAATCAGCCAACAGTGACCAGAAACAATTGAACAGATCAAATCTGGTAATCAGATTACAATTGAAGAATGACAAATGTTTACGTTGTTTTGCTCTAAAGGATGAAGAAGAAAAAAAGTAGCATTAGGGGACATTGCTTTTTCCTAACATTTATGGAGTTTGCTGCTGGTACTTAACCTAGTGAACTAGACCAAATTCTTGCTTTGCAAAGTTTGGTCTAGCAACGCTCCACTGG